TGTAATTTTTGTTTTCTTTTGTGGGTGCAGCTAAGAAATCAAAGGCCACCCATTCAGATGCTGGGCCTTCTAGGATTTCTGATGAGGATAGTGACTTTGTGTCGCCGCCTCGCGCATTCCTTTCTAGGTTGCAACAAGAACCCCTGTGGGATGCCCCCGAGTATGAACTCACTGCGGAGGAGGATGCTATGTATCCTCGGGCAAGGATGCCCCCGCGATATATGCTAGTAAGTCACGTCTAAAATTGCAGAAATCAACGCATGTTGCCCCTATATCGGTAAAATTGCCCACCATTTCTTTGTATAACCTCCAAGACTTTGTTGAACCAATATTTGCCCTAGCGCAGTTTGCTATGAAGATTTTGTGTCCAATGTCGAGCTTTCTATTTATTTTCAGGAATGGTCTTGCGATGTCTGAACATAGGCAGTGTGTGTGTTGTAGCTCTATGGCATGGACTTGGTAACCTTTGGTTTTTCCCTTGGTTATCACGATCTTGGCCTTACATCCAACTCTGTTAGACACCCGTCCTCTTTTTTTTTTTAACTCTTGTGCTGTTTCCCATGTCGGTGCTTGCGGTTTTATTCCTTGTGTTGGGATTGAATCCTTCGCGTGAACATACAATGTGTTTTATTGTCACTTTCCCTTCCCTGTTCCTTCTCACCGTGGTGTGTCTGATATCAAACCCGGTAATGGTTGCGTATGCAGGGTAGAATTCTATTCCTTCTTCTAATGTTTCAAATTGTTGACCGACATAGGGTGTGCTTTCATCTTGACAAATAGGGAACCACCGTTTCGTTCCCTTTAATTTGGTAATACGACCATGTCACACTCTGTTAGTCCTTCTACGTTATGGTCTTTAGCTATACAAACAAAAGGGTTATTGCCTTAACGATATTTGTTCCGTAAGTCACTGGTGGTTTAGATAGTATTACAGAAAATGTAATCAGAAACAAATGAAAACAATGCACACATTCCCTTCCAAATATCCCCACGTGACAGGTCGGCAAGAGTGTGTGTACATTCACCCTAATGTGTGTGCACAGGTGGGGCTACTGAGGTGCATTTAGCGTTAATGAAATCTAAATTGCTTGAAGCGTTAATTAAATCTAAATCAAACTTCCTTAGCCTTAGCACATTCAGCGTTAATTGCATCTAACTTGCATAGCCTTAGCACATTTTGGTGTCAGATGATGAATGGTAGAGGTCCATTACCAGAATTTTAAACACCTAATTGTTGTTACTTGAATGTACGTATACATTGCTGGGTGCACAGACGCCGCACTCCGTGTGCACAGTCTGTTCAAAACTTTCTCCCATGCTTCTGGTTTATGCGAATTTGTATTAACCCAATTCATAATACTCGACTACCAGTAATACGCATTCCGTTTGCCCCCGGAAAACAGTTATGAACATACAAATCACAAAAGGGGATGCGGCAATATTGGTTACATACAAGTCATCAAAATTAAAAACTTACAATACTTACGTACCTGGGTTTTCACCATCAATGGAGTCTGGGTTTTGGTCGCAATTTATTGGGTGTGTCTCGTCCATGGTGTTTGTGATTGCTGCGGATAATTGCACGACCGGAGAACTTTCAAACACTGAAAGTGCGTTGCTAATCTGTATTCTATTAGTACTATACTTACTCTCCTAATTTCTTGCTTTATATCTCAATCATATCTCTTTTCCTTAATTACGTTGTATACACTTTCCCATTATTGCCCTTGTATTCACTAATTCAGAATCTTCAATTAATTAGTCTCATTACATCTTATCCATCCATCTAAACACGTCCTAAGGCTATATTTTGTCATCAAGTTTGTATTTTAAGGGGGTTTGCATGTGAATGCTTCCATATATATATATATATATATATATATATATATATATATATATATATATATATATATATATATATATATATATATATATATATATACTAGTTTCACTTAGAGATATTCACTTTGACACTTCAAATGTGGCAGTAGCCTGGTGAGTCATTTTACTTTAATTCACCGGAAATAAAAGATAATAACTTCATGTTGGCTATCTTTTTATAAGTTTGTGATAATCTATCAAACTGATAGCAACATACAAAGAATGTAATAACTTATATCAAAGACTTGGAGGTGGTATGAATTTCATTGAATACCAATGAATATACAAATTAGGAACATGCACACAAATTCAGTTCTAAAACAAATCATTGAGCTTGTGATATATGGTTCTAAAATAATTCTATAGATGTCATATGTAGATAATCTGCCTTAATTAACACCAATTGTTTAATATTGTTGGATCCATTTATATATCAGTGATTTAATTATTTGTTGCTCAATTATTGCAAAATCTTGAGCTACACTTATATATTGTTATTCAGTAAGTATAACAATATATTGTTGCCAAGTACTATTTTTTTTTTTTTAGTAAAAGACATTTTTGGTCCTAGACTTATAGTGGCACGAACAATTTTAGTCCTCCATAAAAAAATCAGACAATTTGTGGACACTCTTATTGTGGCGGAAGACAATTTTAGTCCTCCGTTTGCATTCCCGTTAGATGGCTGTTTGAGAGGAGGGTATTTGTGTAATCTCATGCTATTTAACGGCCCTAAATGATGAGGTAAGACTCAATAGTGCAACGGTGGCGGAGGGTTCCGCTTCTGGGACTCTGGGTTTCTGTAGGCCCCCTTCAGGAATTCCGAAATGCAAGTGATGCTAGTCTTGGCAATGCTGACGGCGGCTGCGACCTTCTCCGCCACGAGCGCCTTCGCCGGCGTGCTTTCCAAGGATAGTGAGACGACAGAGAGCGATTTGTTGAGCTTTGCCAGCCCCTCGTGAACCACCGTGAAAGCACATTCCATCCACCGTGAACCACAAAACTGCCATGGCCCGCCGTAAATGATTCCTTCTATCACCGGGTCCCATTACACTCTCCGAACAATTCCGACAGCGACGCCTGTTGGCACAAGCAGTTGGTCTGTATTGCTCTGTTTTAAAAAAGAATTTTGGTAATTATGTTCTTTGCATTCGTTATTACAATCTTGAAGTTTATTACTAATTCACTTCCAAATTGCTGCTGAATATTCATAAACACATTGTTTTTGTGTCTGCATGTGCTGTCTATTCGTATGTAGTGTATTGAAAGGGTGGAGAAACATGTCGACCCACGGTTCCCCTCCTCGCATGTCGGCCAAGAAATAGGTTTGACTGATTCTCTGATTGGGTTTTGTAGGATTTTGAGTGATGATATCGGGAGGTTGTCTCTGCGCCATGGCCGTAGTAGACAACATATTTGCAAGATCGAGCGTGTGAAAGCTATGGGTAAAAGTTCCGCCGGGGGAGATGCCGGGAATGATGAAGAAGAACAAGAACAAGAAGAGGATGCTCTGCAAGTTACGCTTAAAAAGAGCCAAAAGGTACTGGCCACGCAAAAGGACTTACTCCTTCAGTTTCTTAACAAACATAAGAGACAGGATAAATTAAAAAGGAGATAGCATGAAATGACGCAAATACCCTCCTCTCAAACCGCCATCTAACGGGAATGTAGACGAAGGACCAAAATTGTCCTTATCACAATAAGAGTGTCCACAAATTATCTGATTTTTTTATGCAGGACTAAAATTGTCCGTGCACTACTATATAGAAGGCTTTTAACGTTGGCTAAAAAGCGACGTTGTAGGTGACGTTGTATAGTAAACATACAACGTCGACTAAATTAAAGTCGACGTTGTATATTTTATTTTTTTAAAAAAAAAGTATTAAACGTCGGTTATTACTAAATAACCGACGTCTTAAGTCTTATTAAACAAATAAAAAAAATACATACAATCAACCTGAACAACTATAATGGAAATACACATCTTACTAAAAATACCATTCCAAGATGCTTTGAAAAAGTCAAACAAATACCATTTCGTGAAAGCTACAACTAAAGCCACCCAAAAAGGCATTGCCTCAACTTTGCAACACAATTTGCAGTGAATAAATTTACAAGGAGTTTGCAAACAAAGGTAACTCACTTCCTTAAGCACTCGTCATAAAATCCATCTCAATCTGATAAGACTTATTGGAGACATCAATATTAAAACAAATTAAACGACATCATAGTTCAAAGATTTCATTTTACCATAATTGCAACCGAGTATACAATGGCCTTTTAAGTGATCCATGTGATAGTCCAAGTGCTTTTTCAACACCCTCAAGCATGGCTTCCTTCACTTTCTAAGCTGTAGCATTTGGAATGCTTCCTAATAAAACAGCAATATTCATCAATATTAAGTGATTCATGAATATGAAACAAAGCAAGTGTTTTGTTCATTTTTATAGATCTAGAAATCTGCATTCTTAGTTTCCCACTTAGGGAAATTAGATATGAATTACTATGTAAATAATTTAGATATCCTATAACAAATGTTCCCCTGCCTGCAGTCCTGCACACTCAGTTGGGTAAGTTAGCTAATATCACCATGGCATTAAATTTGGGTACTTGGTTAATGAAATGGCTAAGGCCAGGGGAATCACAATCAAAGTGTTTTTCAAGCCTCTATGAATAAAGCACTATTTATAAGGATGTTATCCAATCCAATTATTTCAGATTATATTCACATTTAATTTTGTAAACCTTTTAGAACTCACTCTACTCTTCATGATCTTAGCAAGGACTTTGAAACTCATTGTATAAAGGATTATGGCAATCAAATCTCTGAAGTAGCCTGTCCTTATATGAATTAAGTCTCTATGGGATGGCTTATCTTTATTGGGGCTTAAATCACCAAACCAAAAACTACCTGTGGAACTTTGTTTTTCTTACCAAAGCTTGCTGTGCTGAAAAATGTCCAACAGTGAGGACGATTGCTTTTGGAACCTAATAGTTTCTTGGTGTTGTTTGCCATCCATGCGACATGTAGTGACCAAGATCATGCATTAAACAGACTAAAAATATATTGATATGGTATAGAGCAGGCAGAAGCAGCATGAAAGATACCTTGAATGCATTTGGATAATTTGCAACGTAACCATTCTTCATCACTTTTGCCAATGGACTGATGAGAAGCTTCTGAAACTTCAGAACCTATTGCATAATTAACATTCAGGACAAATATTTAGGAAACCAAGCATTGAATCAGAAAACCACAACCAGACCATACCAACTCCAAAAGTATAATCATAGGAAAAATAACGTCCTTCATAAGGTCAAAAAGATGTGTGTTGGGTCCAGGGAGGCGTACGAAAAGTGTTTAATAGAGAAAAATATTTGAAACTAATTGAACCAAGTTTATTAAAGCAATTGTTGAGTTTGTCTCATATATGGATTAGGAATATGAGTTTGTCTCATACTAAAAGTAAGAGTGGAACGCGTAGACCCATTGTATAGGGTAAGAGTGGAACGCGTAGACCCATTGTATAGGGATTAGATGCCTATAAATATATTGGTTGTATCCCTAATGGGTCGTGTCACCACTATCACCATAGAGAATTGTTTCACTCCCGTGGACGTAGGCATATTGCCGAACCACGTAAATCTTGTCTTCTTTACCCTTTACTGCCATTATTTTTGTTTCTTGTTTTTGTTAATCTCAACAAATTCATAGTTGTGATGACTAGTTCAAGTACAAAATTCGAGGTATCAAAGTTTGATGGTATAGGGAATTTTGGGTTATGGCAGTCTAGGGTAATGAATTTGTTGGTTTACCAAGGCCTTCTGAAAACCTCGAGGGTGGAAAATCCAGCAAATCTGGAAGAGGCTGATTTGAAGGAGTTGAAGAAGCAGGAAGCTACGGATGTGGTACGTGCTGATGAGTCTTATTATAGTGAAGGTGATGTTCTAGCAATTACAAGCAACAAGTTCGAACATTGTTTGGACTTGTTGGATGCTTCTAGATGCTAGATGAGAAAGTGGTGAGGGGCGCTGTAGTGTTGGGCAGCGCGGATACCAGGAGGGGTCGTGGACCTGGTATCGATATGGGTCAATATTGGCTCGGTATGGGTCGGGCTTGTCATGAGTCACGGCTGGTATGTGCCGGGCTTGGCATGAGTCAAGGTTGGTGTGGCGGATTGCTTGGGACGAAGCAGTTTGTGAACATGCACGGGGAAACGTTTGATGCTGCGTGGTGCGCGTTGCTGACCAGTGGCAATTACTGGTTAGTGGAGCATTGAGCAAGGCACACGGGTTTAGTGTGACTTTGCAGGGGCGCTGTTGTGTTGGGGCAGCGTGGATACCAGGAGGGGACATGGACCTGGTATGGGCCAGATGCAGGAGGCCAGCTAAACGAGACAGTAAGCATGAGTCGCGGCTAGTATAACAGGTCGACGGCTGAGGGGCAAATGGCTTGGGACGAAGCGGTTCGTGTACATGCACTGGGTAACGTTTGATGCTGCGTATGCATGTGGCTGGCTAGTTGGGATAAACATGGTTGTTCCTACCCATGTGTATATGTGAGATAAATATTTTTCTCCTAAAGGGCATATTTGCGAAGGTGGAGATGGTTAGATAAGGTATTTTCTCCTAAGGGACATATTTGCTAAGGTGGAGATTTGTTGAGCTATCTTTTCTCTTAAGGGACATATTTGCCAAGGTGGAGATAGTCTTTCTCCTAAAGGGCATATATGTGAAGGTGGAGATGGTGAGATAAGTTTTTTCTCCTTAAGAGCATATTCGTCAAGGTGGGGATTTGTTGAGTTATCTTTTTCTCCTAAAGAGCATATTCGTCAAGGTGGAGATTGTTGAGTTTGTCTCATATATGGATTAGGAATATGAGTTTGTCTCATACTAGAAGTAGGAGTGAAACGGGTAAACCCATTGTATAAGGATTAGATGCCTATAAATATATTGGTTGTATCCCTATGGGTCGTGTCACCACTATCACCATCACTATGAATAAGAGAATTGTTTTCACTCTCGTGGACGTAGGCATATTGCCGAACCACGTAAATCTTGTCTTCTTTACCCTTTACTGCCATTATTTTTTTGCTAGAATCAATATGAACAATATGGGCGTTTAAACTTACAGAATATGTGTAAGCCAGTCTCACACCAGTCTCTGTCATCATCTTTCCATGTAGCTACCTAGAAAACCAAAGATAGTTAATACTCCATACTATTACGATGACATCTAAAATTCCAAGTAGATATTATTTCACAACCTATGCATTTAGGTTTAGCTCTAGTGATTCATGCAATGATGATTTTTAAGTATAATAGTTCATGAGAAAGAAGACGAGCATAAAGGGTGAGATAGTGAGAGTTACCATTTTGTTAGTTTATTTACAAATATGCAATTTTTTTTTTTATATTCTAGGCAGCTCTTGTAATTCCAAGATATCTCGTAATCGTGTATTTGTAAGTGATCTCTTGTAACTGTAATAAAAGGGAGACAGCCTAATTCTTCGCTTTCAAGTATCGTTTATCATCCATCAAGGTTGATTGGTGATATAGAAGAAGAAAAGCAATAGTGTGATAGAGAGTCTCACCAACCTTTCCTCCTAGCACATCTCGTGCCTCCAACAGTATTGGTTTGTGGCTCGCATATGCTAAATATTTGCAGTAGACAACCCAACCAAACCTACGAGCACCAAAATACGAAAACGAATTTCCTTGAATTCCTTTTTCTCCTTTCAAAGTTCGGTTATAAGATAGTAGAATGAAAGGAGCTTTCTACATTTCTTAGAGCATAGTGAGGGGTTGTTTCAACGTAAAACTGAAGTGGAATTATACCCCTAAACGTTCTAGTACAACAGAAGTAGCAGAGGAATAGCATTTCTTCAAAAACGCCAATAAGAAAATATAATTGAGACAGACTAAAAATTTACCGGCACCAGCAATAACAACTTCCAATGGTTTACTTGGACGTGGAGCAGAACGAAATGAAGAGGACAGGTAAGCAGCTTCAATATAGTTAACTGTATTCTCGAGTTCTGGCCTCGGATAGTCCATGCAAACTACCTATATTATAAGATTAACAAAACCTATTTTTCAGTATCTACAACTAGAATTTTATGGATTCAATATAAGTATGCAACATCTTATATATACAATCCAAAACACTGAAACAGACCTTCAAAGGGCGGTACCCCCTCCCTAATTTGGGCATAACACCATTGCTAGTAGGAATCCTCAATTTAGAGCCCATTGAGTAGCTCGCTCAAAATGATAGTGCATTTGTTTCTCTTGCTTACATCCACAAACTCCTTATCATACAATTAACAATCTAGACAACTAAATTCCTATGTTTCAACTTGTAACAAGAACTAACGTATTAAGCATAAAAACAGATTCTTTACAGATAAATAATTTGGAATTAGCTTGCTAAATCCACAACATCACCCTAAAACTCTAAAAAGTAAAGGGAAAAAACACAACCTGCAAAGATAAACAGGCACAAACACAATTAATCAAGATTAGTACTTTGAGACTCAAACCACAATTCCCAGTATTACAGAACCAACCAACAAAAGCAGAAACAAGAGCAATTGAAACCCAAACTAAACTATATAGAAAGATAGCTTAGATAATATTCACTTAATTATCTAGAAAGATGCCAAGATGTTACCCATATTATCAATAAATCCTAAAATACAAATATATCAACATTATTTATTAAAGTTCAAAATAAATTAATAGTAATTCAAAATATAATACCAATAAATCTTAAAATACAATTATATCAACCTAATAGTTCCAAATATATAACCAATTAACTTATAAAATTCAAAATATATACCTAACAATTCCTAAAATTCGAAATACATTAATAAATAATTTCAAATATAATTATTGTAATTCTAATATTCAGAAATTAAAATAATAATAATAATTAAAAAAAAAAAAAAAAAAAAACTTACCAACGGTGCGGGGTGCAGTGCTTCGTCTGTGGGCGGCGGAGGCTGTGCGATGCTGTGGCGGGAAGCTAGGCGGCTGTGGCTGTGGCTGGACAGCGGAGGCGTCGAATAGAAGGTGCAGTGTGGCGGTGGTGGAGGGAAACCGACGATGACCGGTGGCTGTGCTGTGGGCGGTGGCGGGCTGCTGGCTGTGCGGTGGGCGGTGGGGAGAAGGGAAAAGGGGCTGCTCGCTGCGGAGAAGGGAGAAGGGAAGAGGGGCGGTGGTGTGAAAATGATTTCAAAACCGCTGGCCAGAGCTATTTTAAAAACTCTATAACGTAGGCTATTAACAAATAGCCGAACAAATAGCCGACATTATAAATAAAAAATAAATACAATCCTAGCAAAACGAATGGAGGACTGGGTATTCGCAGCCTCAAACACATGAATTTAGCATTTCTAGCCAAACTTGGCTGGAGGCTGCAACAGGATGATGATTGTTTATGGGTAAAACTTTTCAAGGCCAAGTATGGTGCTACCTCAACTGATTTGTCAACTTGGCAGTTAAAGAGCATCAATTCGAACGCATGGAGAGGAATTCTAAAGTCCAAGCCTATCCTTCTAAATGGAACTAAGATGCTTGTGAGCATTGGTCTGAACTCCCTCTTCTGGCAGGACAAATGGCTGGGGGATAAACCCCTGCTGGAACTAGCGGTCAACACTATTCCCCCTCATGACTTGAACAGATTGGTGGCAACCTACTGGGATCCGGAGGATGGGTGGCTTTGGGATCAGCTGGACAACTTCCTTCCTGTGGAGATTCTTAATACGCTTGCGGCTTTTATCCTCGTGAACGAACCTGAGTTATTGGATATAAGGGGATCTGGGGATGGGCCAATGAGCCCAATGGGGCATTCTCAGTCAGCTCAGCCTATGGCATTGCGTTAAACTCAAATGATTCATTAGAAGCTGCAAAATGGAACAATATTTGGAAATTGAAGCTCCCCTAACCGCATTCGCACCTTCCTTTGACTTGTAAGGCACAATAGAATCATGACAAATCTCAATAGGATGAAGCGTGGGATGACCAATTCTGCCACTTGTTGGCTATGTGAAGAGACCATTGAAGATGCTGATCATACGTTGCGTCTTTGTCCAGCGATTGAGGAAGTCTGGAGGCCAGTTCTGCCAGACACACATATGGGACTACGAACGTTGCCTCTCAAGAGTTGGCTTGACGAAGGACTATCATCTTCAGCTAGAAGGAGAAGACCATGCAGTGACAATATCACCTTCGCTGTTGCCGTATGGTGGATTTAAAAATGGCGTAACGAAGCTATTTTCAATGGTTCCATTAAAGCTTTGAATATGAAGGTATTTGTTATCAGATCTCAAGTGGAGGAAATAAATAGAGCTTTTGCTAGATCAAGGGGACCTCAATCAACAGAAAATATGGCTTGGAAGCAACTCTGCTCGGAGAAGCCGAGCGAGGATACTGTGAAACTTAATGTGGATGGATCCGTCACCTCGACTTCAAAGGTAGCCGGGTGTGGTGGAATCATTAGAGATCATACGAGTGAGTGGAAGAAAGAATTTATTGTGTCTTTTGCTTCTTGTAGTCCATTCGAAGCGAAGGCATGGACACTACTCAGAGGTATCCAATTAGTTGCATCTATGGGCTTTAGTCGAGTTACCATAGAGAGTGATTCTGCAGAAGCAGTTGCCTATGTTAACAGCTCCAGACTTCCCACCATTGCTGGCCATAATATTCTCGAAGCTTGTAAGCGTGAGAATTGCTCGTTTGCCCACTGCCAGGTCAAATTCATCCCCTGAGAGATCAATTGTGTTGCGGATAGGCTCGCACGTATGGCCAGATTGCATGGGAATGGCTTACAATTGTTTACTGATCCTCCAGCCGAAGTTGTTGACTTGCTGGATAATGATGCTGCTGGGTTTCCTGTTTGGCGAAATGTCTGCTATTCTTCCTAATTTGTTTTAGATTGCTTGCGGGTTTCCCCCTTCCATTTTACAAAAAAAAAAAAAAAAAAAATACAATAAGAGGACGGTTATTTATATAACCGACGTCATATATGAAACATTAAAAATAATAATAATAAAATAACCTACAACATCGGCTATATAAATAGCTGACGTCATATTGTATTTATTTTTTTATTTTTTTTATTTTTTATTTATAACGTCGGCTATTTGTTAATAGCGGACGTTATAGGTTTTATAAAAATACTAGTTTTTTTACGCGCTTTGCGCGAATGGGATAATGCCCAATAATAAGTTTTAAATAAGTATTTCAAAGTATATCAATGCAATATTATATAGGAAAGTATGTTCATGCATAGGTAAATAAATGTTGAATTTGTTTATTTAAATCGGTAATTTAAAGTATATAAATACAAGACAATATATGAGAGATTGATTATAATTGTCACTAAAATAAATGTTTGCAACTTTGTAATAACGCTAGTTTAAATACTTAGGGGGGTGTATTCAATCATGACTTTCATAGAAAGTCTTTAAAAGTCACGTGGTATTCAAAAAGTTATGAACTTTTGTAGACTTTTTAATTTTAAGACTTACTTTTTCTTCTCAAATATAAATAGTTGAAATCCAACCATCAACCCCCAGATTTCAAAATTTTCTTTCTAACAACTTTGAATGTTTTCTCTCTCTATTTAAACTCTATTTTTTCTCCCAATTTAAACTTTATAAACCTATCTAAATTTAATAAAAAAAATTTCTTCATTATCCTATATTTTCCTCATACCTAAACTCTACCAATTTTTCTCTCTCTCTCTCCCCTAAACTTTACAATTTTCTCTAAAAATTCGAAATAATATTATTTTTACTTCAATATTGCTTGTTTATATTGATTTTTATTTTTTCTATGAATTTTTTATCCCTAACTTTCTCTAATTCTCCCTAAATACATGAACAAAGCAAATTTTTCATCATCAAATTTTATAGTATATGTTTCATAATATTCATATAAATAATTATATATTTTGATTTTTATTCTTTTTATGTTTATATTCGTAATATATATTTTTCCTTTTTTTAACAACAAGTTACTACGAATAGCGAACTACTGTTCGAAATAACAATTTGGGGTTGCAAACAGTAACACCTTGTTGTTATTCGCAGTCTCAAATTGCTATTGCAAATTATACTTCTTTGCGTGATGCCTAGCAATTATCAAGTATTATATATATATATATATATATATATATATATATATATATATATATATATATATATATATATATATATATATATATATATTATAAATATTAGATTCTTATTTTTTTATTTTATGCAACTTGTAATTATATTTTTAAATATTTTATTTGATCAATTCTTCTATAATAGATTTTATTATTCAATATTGTTATGAATTTCTAATGAAATATTTTTTTATGTTTATTAATAATATATATAAGTAATTAGCATATAAGTCTCAATATACTGTGGATAAAAATAATAATGTTGAGAATGTTGATGTGGGTGAAGAACTACATAATAAGAAAATTTTATGATATATTATAAATGTTTTGTAAGAAAAGTATAAATGATAAGAATCAAAATCATTGAAAGTTTGTAAGGATGTATTTTCAATTTAGAATTTCAATGACTTTTGTAGACTTTTTAAAATAAAAAGTTGATAAAAGTCTATGAATGTTTTTTATATAGACTTTTATAGAGTCTTATAAAGTTTTATAAAAAGTTTTGAACGACTCTATGAAAGTCAATCAAAGTTTATTAAAATCTATCATTTTAAAAATCTTTAAAACTCTACAAAAGTCATGATTGAATACACCCCCCTTAATCTAAAAGCGATAGTAAGCGGACAAATTATGTTGTGCAACCGTTTGCACCATGCATGGTGCACACGGTTGCAAAAACGACGTCATTTTGACTAAAAATGCGCGTCCCAATTAAAAAAATCAGTTTCGATTCTCGGCAACAACATTATGTTGTGCATAATTTGAACTATATATCCAGAATGAATGAACTAAATATCCAGAATGAATGAACTAAAAATCCAGAATGAATGAACTAAAAATCCAGACTGAATGAACTAAAAATTCAGAATGAATAAACTAAATATCCATAATGAATGAACTAAATATCCAGAATGAATGAACTAAACATCTAGCATGAATGAAAAAAAAAAATCAGTTTCGATTTCCGTCTAAATATCCAGAATGAATTAACTAAATATCCAGAATGAATGAACTAAAAATCCAAAATAAATGAACTAAAAATCCAGAATTATGCACTGTCGGGAATCGAAACTGATTTTTTTTTTTTTAAATTGAGACGCGCGTTTTTAGTCAAAACGACGTCGTTTTTGCAACTGTGTGCACCATGCGTGGTGCACACGGTTGCACAACATAACGATTGCTAAAAGCGGTAGTCTAAATAAATACTAATTTTGATTTAAATTTCTCTAATTCTTCTTAATTCTCTTTTGGGTAGCATTATCATTATCTTCATCTTCAGTACATGTCCTCTTATTTGTTTTTGTTTTTTAT